TTGGGGGTTTAACCGATGCGCTCAAAAACGGTGGGTGGTCTCTGCTAACCACTTGTGACTCTCAAATGAAGAACTGCTCCCAGTAGCAAACCGGAGTGGTCAACGAAAACTGAGCACAGCTCTCAGTACTAATTGGGAAAAAAAAAAAAAAAAAAAAATCACAGCTCCCAGTACTCTCAGCATCATCGGCATGCATGATGGTGAATGGATGGTTCAGCCATACCCCATACAAGTATTATAGTATTATTATGTAGTATATTATACATTATCATTATACATTATCATTATACATATTATATAATTCATTATAATATTATATGACAAACTGTTTCGTCGGAGTTTCACCAACAGACTCGTCAGGCGGCTGAACCCTCAAAAACAGTCTGCAGAATCCCCTAGCCTGATGATTACACTGTAAGTGATAATCCACCTTAACTTAACCCCGGCTGTGGTTAAGCATCAACGAACGACTGCCCGACAACTGATACCCCTCTGAGGAGGTGGGGACCACCAACCATTGCCATCAAGGTACCTGTGACGAAAATCAAAGCAGACTGTCACTCACCCACACCAGATGGAAAACTCTATAGATAGATTTTATAATGTATAATCAATAATGCCAGCATCTATAGATTTTATAATGTATAATCAATAATGCCAGCATTTTGGATAAGTCCTCCAGCGCATCTGACCTTTTATTTGCACTCAGATACATTGGATGACGTGGAGCTGTTGGTTCACACAGTCCTAACACTACCCAACGCCAGCCTTCCTTCCACAGCTCGCAATCAGTACTGCACCAACTGGCCTACCTTCTTCCCCCGAATACAACGTACGGTCGTTATAGCTGTATATATTTAGACTGAAAGAGATACCCCACATACAGCTATAATTACCATACGTTGTATTCGGGGGAAGAAGGTAGCTAGCTCAGTTGGTACAAACACCCCTGTCTGCACTGAACTGTTGAAATACAGACCATGTCCAGACTTCGCTTTCGACTGGAAGCAAGCAGATGAGTAAAATATTGCAGTTCTGAATTACCTAAGGCTGGTCAGTTCGATGATGACATGTCACGGCCGTCGAGTCGGCCTTTTGAAAAAAAAAGAGCAATCAGTGATTCAGTATTTCGTTTGGTCTCCAGGAGCACGAACGAACGAGAACAATGGAACCCTGATTGCTGCCTTCTTCCCCCGAACATAACGCATATGCGGTGTATTCGAGTTTCCGAAAAATTCAAAAAAAAAATGAATGAAGAGAGCGCATATGCGTTGTATTCGAAAGTTAGTGCGATTCGAATAGAACGCAAATGCTGGTGGCGGGAATGCTGGGGGAGGAGGGGAGGGGGGGATGCTGGCGTCATCCAATGCATCTGAGCGCAAACAAGGTCAGGTGCACTGGAGGACATCCACAATGGTAACGGACAGGTGTAAGAAGATTACAGAGCAGAAAACGCCGATGCGGGCGGGGGAGCCGTCGGTGCTGCTGCTGCTGGTTTTCCTTTTTTTTTTTTAAGTCCTTTTCTTCTGCTTCTGCTGGTTTTTTTTTTTTTTTTTTTTTTTTTCCCCT